GTAAAATTGATCTTCTGTATATAAAGATAATAGAAAATGAATCTTGATGTGAATGGAAGGGGAGAGGGAGCGGGAGAGGGGAGGGTTGTGGGTGGGAGGGACGTTATGGGGGGGGGGAGCCATTGTAATCCATAAGCTGTACTTTGGAAATTTATATTCATTAAATAAAAGTTTAAAAAAATAGTTAGACAGTAAAGAAACCTAAGAATTTTCTGTCAGACATTAATCCCAAAGGAAATATATATAATTTTTGTGTATCTCTTAGATTGTAAACTCTTCTTATAGATTGTAACTGATATTTTTAAAGGAATCATTACCCTACTACATTAAAGTTGCAAAAAAATTATCTAAGATCCTTTGAGCTAGAATTTTCTTATATGCAAAATGTAAGATGAAAAGACATGACAATTATTCTGTTTCTCTGAGACATCAATAAACAATAAAACCCCACTGCTTTCAAATGATAATAACTTTGCCCTTTGAGGAGAGAAATATATATTTGGCATTATTTAGATAGTCCAGAAAGGATTATATCTATTGTTCTACTTAATAGTGTATTTATGGAAATGTGTCCTTAAGGAATTGTAACTTCTTATGTAGAAACAGCCTAACTGGACATATTATTTACTTTTTATATCAATCACTGAAAATGACTACTTTCCTGACAAATGCTACTTATTACCATTATTTTCCTTTCAGAAGCAGTATTTCATATGTTGACAATAAACACTGTATAACAGACCTATTATTTTACCAGTAGTTACAGTGAGAATCTTAGGGGCAAGAAGAAATTCAAGATAGGAAAAGCATCTGTTTACATGGATTCTTTGAAAAATAGGTTGCATAAATGAAGCACAGCTGATTTGGGATGTTGCATTTAATGGTAACCCAGAGAATATTGTTGCAGTTATTATTAATAAGTAGCATTTATTGAGTTGTTGTCATTTGACGAGCATTGAAAAAAGTACTTTACATACACATTTGTTTAAATGGATAAAATCTAATTACTAATAGTTATTTCTTTCTAATCTAGTTTACTGATTTACATATGACCCTTGTTTATATACCCCAATTATAATATAATGAATACCCATGGATTGGAACATTAGCAATAATTTACATCTAAATAATTTTCTTCCATCCCGTCTTCAAGGCATTATCATTATTCTGGATTTTGGGTTCCTCATTTCTCTGCCACTGAAAAATTAACTTTATTAATTTTAATGTATTGCTTGTTTTGCTTAATTTTGAACTTTTTACATCTTGAGATATCTTTGTCTATGCTTATGTCCAAAAGATTCACCAACTCATTTTGTATTTTATATGTAAGTCCTTACACCAGGTACTAATGTTTCTTGGTAGTCTGAATTAGGGATAAAATTTAATTTTTTCCCTAAACATAACTAGTTTTCCCCTTTATTAAGTAGGTTCTTTCCCCACTAATCTACCTTGCATCTTTGTCACATGGCATAGTTCACTATAAATGAAGTTCAGTTTGTGAGTCCACATTTTGTTTCATTGGTCTCATTATCTATACTCAACAAACACACTGTAAATTTCTATAACTTTATAATAAGTCATGTTAAAGGGAGGCCAAATCCTTCATTCTTCTTTGTAGTGTTGTAGTTTCCTTTTGCTGCTTTGCGTTTCTATGAACATTTTAAAGTCAATTTGTCAAATTACATGAAAAATTTCTATTGGCATTTTGATTAGAGTTGCATTGCATTTTGGAATCAATTCTGGGAGATTGGCCTTGTTACAATATTGTCTTCCTATAGAAAACTTGTTATACCATATATCTAATTAGATCATTTCTTAGGTTTTTTTTGGTTTGCTTTTTACATACAAATTCTGCATTTGTTTTGTTAGATTTTTCCTAGATAATTTATAATTTTTGATTCTTGTATAAAATCAAATATTTAAAAATTTATTTTAAAAATATTTGTTGCTATTATACAATATAGCCAGTCTTTTTATGTGGACTATATATTCAGCCACTGCAGTATGCTTTCCCTATAATTTATATTAATTTGTTTATAGGGTTTTTGGATTTTTTTATGTACTTGTCTTTCTTATCTTTTTGTATTCTATTTTGTTGAATCTCATTGTTATTTTCTAAGTCACATTCTTCAGTAAGTTTTACATTTACTTGGTCTAATACAAGCTTTAAGTCTCTAATTTTCCGGTTTTTAAATTATTGAAATACTACACTTAATTTTTTACCAATATCTGTTAATTGCACTCTTGGAATGATCAGTGTAACAATGTATTGATACTAGTTTTATGTCCCATTATAGAGAAAAATTTTCATAAAGATTTTTATTTATTTATTTGAAATTAAGAGCTGTAGGGAGGGGGAAAGGCAGAAAGAGAGAGAGAGAAAGAGAGAGAGAGAGAAGAGTGACAGAGATATCTTCCATCCACTGGTTCACTCTATAGATGGCTGCAAAGGCCATGGCTGGGCCAGGCCAAAGCCAGGAGCCAGGAGCTTCATCTGTGTCTCCCAAGTGGGTGGCAGGGGCCCAAACATGTAGGTCATCTTTTGTTGCTTTTCTCAGGCCATTAGCAGGGAGCTGAATCAATAGCAGAGGACCAGGGACATGAACCAGTGCCAATATGGGATGCCGCCATCACAGATGGTGGCTTTGTCCACTACACCTTGATGACAGCCCCTATAGAGAGAAATTGTATAACTTGGTTATGGCCATACAGATACTAAATGACATGACTGGATATCTCATAAAAAAGACCTGTTTGGTTCTAAAATCTTTACTTTTAATGATCTGCTACCATGAATTAGAATCAATACTGGCCATTCAATACCAGCTTTTTGGTATAAATCTTAGCTTATGAGGCTTGAAATTTTTCACAATGCCATGATAAAAGTACAGCTCCATTTCAATGTGTTAGTTCTGTATTGGTGTTTTACCAAGTTATCACAAACATAGTAGCTGAAAATAATACAGTTCGAAGCAGGCATTTGGGCACTTTGGGTTAAGCTACCGTTTGGGAAGCCTACACCCATATTGGAATTGCTAGGTCACATCCAAGCTTCTCTGCTTCTGATCCAGCTCCCTGCTAAGGCACTTGAGAAGCAGCAGACGACAGCCCAAGCACTAGTGGCCCTGCCACCCATGTGGGGGCCTTGAATAGATTCCATGTCTCCTTGCTTTGACCTGGTTTAGCCCTGGATGCTACTTTCTTTCGGACATTGACCCAACAATTGAAGATCTCTCTCTCTCTCGCTCTCGCTCTTTCTCTCTCTCTCTCGGTGAGTGTGTGTGTGGGTCTCTCTGTGTGTGTTTGTGTGTGTCTGTATCTCTTTGTGTTTAAAAGTGGCTCATTCCCAAATGCCTGCTATAACTGGGGCTGGTTCCAGACAAAGCTAAGAGCCAGGAACTCAATCTGGGTCTCTCTAGTGAGTGGCAGGGACCCACTACCCTCTGAGAGGAATAACCTGCTGCCTCCCAAGGTGTACACTTAGTAGAAAGCTGAGACAGAAATGGAGGCATGGCTGATATCCAGACATTCCTATATGGTGTCCCATGTGGCCTACCCCATACATTTATTAGCTTTCAGTTCTGAAGGTTTGAAGTCTAGCAGGACCCAGCTGATTTCTTTCCTGAATTTTGCATGGTTGAAAGCAAGATGTCCACTGGTTCTTATTGGGAAGTCCTGTGAAGAATCTACTTCTAGGATTATTCACATTATGGCAGAATATATTTCTTTGCAAATATAGTACTGTAATATTCTCATTTGTTTTAATATGAAGATAATATCTTAAATTAGCTATAACCAAGTGAAAATCATGCTTAAAAAAAACTGACATATTGTTCTCCTGAGGCATCCCCAAACATAAGAATTTCAGTTTTCAAGTTGGCATCTTTTTTAAGATAGATCATTTGTGACAACATTGTTGAACCCAGAGGACATTACGTTAAGTGAAATAAGCCGGGCACAGAAACACAAATTCTCTCAGTTGTATTAGCAGTCTTAAAAAGTTGGACTCATAAAAGTAGAGAGGAGTATATTGGTTATTAGAGAATGAAAAGTGAATAAGGAAAGGAAGATGTTGGTCAAAGTGTACAGAATTTCAGTTAGGCAGGAGAAATAGGTTCTGGTGAAAACATTGTGATTTTAGTTAATATATTGTATATTTTATGCTAGTGAGAAGAGTGGATTTTAAATATTCTTACCACAAATAGTAAGTCTTTTAGGCAATAGATATTTTGCTAGACGGATGTGATTATTCTGCAACTATACATGTAATGAAACTTCATATTGTATCCCTAAGTGTACGCAATTATTTTCCAACTAAAAATAAAACTTAAAAAATGATGGGAAATAATGCCAAAATACATTCTAATGCTAGAGATGTGGAAATCAATGGGAGCATTTATGACAGTGGCGTCTTTCCTAGTTTGGGGTCAGCGAAGAGAGATCTAGAGGAGTAGTGCTTAATATGAAATGGGAACCATTAGTAGAGTTTGTGACATGAAGAGCTTGGAGGCAGGAGAGTGTAAAGGAGAAGATTGTTCAGAGGCTGAGGATATTCCAGCAAGAGATAACATAAGTGGAAAAAAAAAAACTTCTTTTTAAACTCTTCTGATCTTATCAGTGCACAAAGGATCTGACATTTCGCAGTGTGCAGGTACAGAATATACCAAGACTCTCTAGGGCTCTCAACACCTAGAAGAGTACAATGAGGGCAGAACAAGAAATTGACCTTGCCTTGGAAGAATGCACTCAGATGATTCTAACACTAGTGGAAATGAGAGTGCTAAGTTTTATGAGGGTGTAGAGTGAAAAGAAATGTTTTCTTTGGGGGCTTTTAGGTGAGAAGAAATGGGATTTTTATTCAACACTCTTGAAAAAGCTGACATTTGACATAATCCTTAAAGGAAGAGCAGGGTAAGACCTGCAGCATGTTGGTCCAGGTCAGGATGCTTACGGTTTATTTTGTCCTCCACTGTGTTTTGACCCTTGCCTTATTTGTTCAGCTAGGATTGTGTCTAAGCAGAGCCTCCGCATCTGTTCTTAACCTCAATTGCAGCCTCATCCTTTTACCCATGTGCCGAACACTCCTGGCTTACCTTCGGGGATCCCAGAAGGTAAGAAAAGCAAAAACAAAACAAACAAACAAACAAAACAAAAACAAAAACAAACCCAAAAAACTAGGCCACAGATTCCATTGAATAAAAGTTACCATTCTTCTCAGTTTTCATGGTCTGAATTTTGGCTGGAGTGATCACTTCAAAGCTGATATTAAGAGCCTGTCAAGTTGACCCGTGACCTGTTGGACAATAAGATCAGGGGACAGCAGAAATATTGTCAACAGTGGTTTTACTTCTGTCTCACCATCCCACATACACAATCACAAATCCTTACAGTGGTTATGCAACCAAATATTGTTAGTCCATTTTTATACATGAGAAATCTGAGGCATAGACATTTAAGTAACTTAGCCAAAATTGTGAGAACAGTGAATGGTAGAGCTAAGATCGACACCAGTTCCTGTTAGAACATGTGTCATTGAGATCCTTTATTTTCACTTGGTCAAAGGCAAGTTAGATCAAGTGAGCAAACTAGAGCCTTGTGGCCTTTGAGCAATACATAGAGTTATTGCTGATATTGGCAACATATCTCTGCTTAATGCAGATACCTATTTTGAGGTGTGTAATATGTGTGCAAAAGACATTCTGATTAGTGACATCAAATGTGGTATTTATTGTCATAAAATGAAGGATGTAAATGGAAAAGTACTTTAATTCTGTTGAAACTCAGCTGAAATTCCTTTTTGTGTTCAATTATTCCATTGTACGTATTTGAGTGTGTTTACTCTTCTCTAAGATAGCAAGGTACTGTTAGGTAGATACTGATATTTGAAAAAAGAGTTCCTAAAATGAGGTTGCTTTCATGTTCTGTGAAGTTCATACGTATAGTTCTGCTCTTGTAAAACTTCTCAGTCTTTCCATGTAATTGTATTTGTTATATTTGGGAACTCTACTTTCAATGCAATGATTTATGGAAATAACTCTTTCCTTAGGTAGTCTCCAGTTGTAAAAAGCTAGGTTTTGATCCCTGTGGCTGGCCATTGGCTCAACATGAAGAAAAAAGAAGATAAGGGTTAGGAAATGAAAAATTCCCACCTAAGTCTCTCAGTACTTAATAAATCTTAAAGAAGTACACTTAAAGTACACTTTAAGTGCTACTTAAAGAAGTATTCAGAGATGTTTGGCATTTTGCTTTTCTATAAGATGAATCAGGCATTTTAAAAACAGAGATGAGATTGCTTCCTTTATGTTTTACTACAGAAAGAGAGCATACATATATTGTCAAATTCATACATTCTAGAAATATTCAAAATAATCAGAGAAATATTTCCTAATCTTAGTCTGCCAGAAAAATCTCTGATGACAATTGGGGGTACAGATTGCAGAAACATTAACATACAGTGCCATTAATTTTGAACAATGGAGGAATATAGTATAGTTCATGTTTCATAACTTTTTCCCTTAGCAATATAAAGTTGCATATCTTTCTATATTGATGACATAGTTGTCAGACATTCCTTTTAATGGTTAGAATATTCCAGTGTCTAAATATATCATGATTCATCTCACCATTTTTTTAAAAATTAACTAACTTGAAAGGCAATGAGAGAGAGAGAGAGAGAGAGAGGAGAGACTGCTAGTTCACTTACAAAATGCTTGAAATGGCCAGGACTTGGCCAGGCCACTGAACTCAGATCTCCCACATGGGTGACAGGAACCCAATTTCTGGAACTGTCACTGCTGCCTACCAGGGTGTACATTAGCAGGAAGCTGGAGTCAAGAGTCAGGGAACCTGAGTGCTCTGATAAGGGCATCTTAAGTGAGACCGGATGTGCACATCTCACCAACGTTTGATTAATAAGCTTCTGTCTTATTTTAACAGTTCTGATATAATAAGCAATCCTATGGTGAAAAACTTTGTACATATATCTTATTTATTGTAACATTTTTACTACATTAAACTATTTTTATTTAGGTCCCAAGCAGGAGAACAAGAAGAGTGTTGGATAAGAGCAGAACATTCCATATAACTTGTGGTGTCACTATCTGTATTTTCTCAGGTGAGAAAGCTAAAAGATATGAAATCTTTTGTGAGAATTACATATTTTACTAATGCTAAAATGTATAATTTTATTGTTTTATGAATTATTCATGTCACCAACTTGAGATTTTCTTATTTGATAGCCAAGTTTACTTTTCTATGGGTTTAAATATGATTGTCTAGGGGTTGCTGCAGAAAATGGTTGTGTCTTACGACTGTTTACAAAATTTCACTCCCAAGCTGATAACAACTATTTCCTGAAAGCAAATAATTTTATTTAGAAAAATTATACTAGAGCTTTTAAGCTCTAAAAATAATGATATGATATGAGTTTAAATGCATGAAAATTAGCATGTGAAACGATCACTTAGAGAGTATGATTCCAGCCCAAACTATATTTAATAAATATTTCCTTGATATTAATGCTTGGATGGAAAACATCCAAATATGTGAATTTTATCCTATTCTATTTTAAGTTAAAAATAAAATATTTGTTTGTAGAAGGCATTTTAGTTTTTAAGAACTTATTTGTTTATTTGAAAATGGAGAGAGAGAGATCTTTCATCTGTTGGTTCACTCCCTAAATACCTACAACAACATCTGGAGCTAAATCACACTGAAGCCAGGAGCCCAGAATTCAATCCATCCTTCCCACGTGGGTAGCAGGGACTCAGGTGCTTGAGCCAACTGCTGCCTCCTGGGATGTGCATTAGCAGGAAGCTGGATTGGAACTGGAACCGAGACTTGAACCTAGGGACTCTGATATGAGATATGGTGACTTAGCTGCTGGCCAAATGCTCACAGCATTAAGAGACATTTCAAAATAAATTTTTATATTGAGAATTTTTATTATATTTTTCAAACGTTTGGCATAGAAACAATTAACATAGTGATTAAGTATATGGACTCTGGGATTGCATAGGTTCTATCTCCAGCTGCCCTTCTGCCTGACTATATGATAGTGCTTCTTTAATCCTCTGTTTTTTGTAACTGTGATCTGGATTAATAGTAGCAGTTAGCTCATAGTTTCAAGGTTAAAATGAGAAAGTACATGTGAGTTCTTAGAATAGTGACCTTAAGTTACAATCTCAAGGGTTAATTTTCTTGCAGCATGGCACTTAACGTTTTCACCTGGTCAGTGTTTGATGTGATATAGCTGTTTTGATACTAAGATTATTTTTACCTGACATTTATTGTGTGGTCATTTTTTATATTTATTTATTTGAAAGAGTTACACAGAGAGAGGGAGATCCCCCCCCCCCCCCCCCGCACACACACACAGAGAGAGAGAGGGGGAGAGAGAGAGAGAGAGAGAGAGAGAGAGAGAGAGCCAGCTTACATCTACTGGTTCACTCTTTAGTGGCCCCAAAGGCCAGGGCTGGGCCAGGCTAAAGCCAGGAGCCAATAGCTTCATCGGGATCTCCCACGTGAGTGGCAGGATCCCAAGCACTTAAGCCAGCTTCCTGTGCTTTTCCCAGGCCACTATTAGGGATCTGGATCAGAAGTGGAGCAGCTGAGGCATGAACAAGCACCCATAAGGGATACCGATGTTCCAAGTGGCAGCTTTACCCACCATGCCACAGTGCTGGTCCCTTTTGTGACAATTTCAACTAGGCAGTGTTTTGATACAGCTGTTAGTAAGAAATCATTGAACTTTCAGGTACTTAAAGGTTGCCCAGAGACAAGCTTTTGGCACAGTCTTTAAGACACCACTTGGGGTGTTGGCAACCTATATTGGAGAGCCTGGTTTGAGTACTGGCTCTTACTCAAGTTCCAGCTTCCTGCTGATGCACACCCTGGGGGGCAGTAGGTGATGGCATTAGAGTTGGGTCACAGCCACTCCTAGCTCCATTCCAACTGTTGTGGGTTTTGGGCGAGTGAACAAGCAGATGGGAGATCCCTGTTGTTCTGCCTTTCAAATAAATTAATTAAAAATTGACTAACATTGTTGAAGCAGACATGGTCACTATATATCTCTGAACATCTTTCCACTGGTAGAAGGGTTGAGATTGAACTCAGAGATGTGATAGAAACTCCAGTGCAGCTCAAGGCTGAGTAATGAGGAAGAGCCTAGTATGAGTTAAGGATGAAGGGTGTGATGAGGGATAGGGATGGATTTTGGCAAGGGAGAGTGAAAAGTCAGAAATGGAAGAGGATTAGGAGACTTTGACATATTCAGTATTTTGCTTGTTCTAAACTGTAGTTGTGTCCAAATATTCTGGTTCAATTGGGGAGTAACCAAGAAGCTGGATATTGCAAAGCATTACTGTGGGGGAGTAGTTTCCAGAGGGTTTGCATTTGGCTACCCATTAGTGGTCTGTCTGGCTAAATTAGCTTTTCTTACCATACTTTTCTTTCTATAAAATAAAGATGATTCTATCAAACCTCATTGTTTTGTTATGACAATTAAAAAAGAAAATCCATTAAAAGTACTTGGCATAGTTTCCTGCAAACCTCTTAAATAAGAAACTCTAAACCCCATTGACATAAAAGACTTTTTGAAAGTAAGTACGTCCCCTAAGGATTTATCCCATATAATTGTTATATAGGATTTATTTTCAGGGGAATTCAAAAATACTGACAATTGTTCAAAGTTATTCTTGCATGCATGAGCCACAAAGTGTTTATTTAACATATAAGCCTTTAATTTAAAATGAAGAGGTTGTTTATTTATTTTATTATACATTTCAGTATTGATGAAGCTATAGAACAGAGTTTTGAGTGAGTAATATTTTATGCCTGTGCCACGTTGAATCTCACCAAGATATTCTTTGTTTTACTTCTTGGAAATCTGTCCTTATTGTTAGTTAACTAAATCCCAACTTGCTGTTTACTTTTAATTATTTGTTTATTTTTTATTTTTATAAGGGAACAAACTTCAGGTTTTTCATATATAAAGTATTAAGAAGCATAATGATACTTCCTACCCCCCACTCTTCCTAAAAACTAAAAATGATTTTTAAGCATAAATTTAGGTTCATAGCAAAATTAAGAAGAAAACACCTACATTACTCATATGCTCGTTGTTCTCAGATATACGTAATATTTGCCATTATCAACAATGCCCACCAGGATTATGCAGTTTGTTACCCTTAATGAATCTGTATTGATTGGCACATCGTTATCAAAGTCTATGATTTACATTAGGTTTTGTTTTGTAAATTCTATGGGTTTGGACAAGTGCATAATGACACAATTATACTATCATATATGGTAAATTTCACTGTCTTGAAAATCTTCTGTGTTTTGCCTATTCATTCTCTCTCCTCTTTAATCCCGGGCAAGCACTGATCTTTTTGCTCTCTCTCTAGTTTTGTCTTTTCAATAAATGCATATAGTGGGTGTCACACAATATTTAGGCTTTTCAGATTAATGTAAGTTTCCTCCATTTCTTTTCATGGATTGATAGGTCATTTCTTTTAATATTGAATAATATCCCCAAAACTGGATATTTTAGAGTTTATCCATTTATCTGGTAGAGAACATATTTATTGTTTCTAACTTTTGATAATTTTTAATAAGGCTGCTATAAACATCCCTGTGCAGGTTTTATTTGCATTTGCACAGAAATTTTAACTCCTTTGTATAAATACCAAGGAGTGGTCTTGCTGGATCATATAGTATGAGTATACTCAGTTTTGGTTTTTTTATGAAGATATTCATGTAGTCCCCTCTGATTCACTTGCTTTTTTTTTTTTAAGGTTTATTTATTTATTTGAAAGGCAGAGTTACAGAGAGACAGAGGCAGGGGCAGAGAGAGATCTTCCATCCACTGGTTCACTCCCCAAGTGGCCGCAACGGCTGGAGCTGGACTGATCCAAAGCCACAAGCCAGGAGCTTATTCTGAGTCTCCCATGCAGGTGCAGGGACCCAAGCACCTGGACCATCCTTCACTACTTTCCCAGGCCAAAGCAGAGAGCTTGATCAGAAGTGGAGCAGCTGGGTCTCAAACAGGTGCCCATATGGGATGCCAACACTGCAAGCAGAGGCTTCACCCTCTACACCATAGTGCTGGCCCCAGTATATTAGTTTTGTAAGAAACCATCAAACTGTTTTCCAAAGTGGCCATACCATTTTTCATTCCCACCAGCAAAGAGTAAAATTCCTGTTGCTCTGTGTCATTGGCAACATTTGATGCTGCCAGTGTTCTAGATTTTAGACTTTCTAGTGGGTATGTAGTAGTTTTAATTGTTTTAAATTTGTATTTTCCTCATGCTATCTAGAGTGTCTTTCCATATGCTTATTTGCTATCTATCCTGTTTGGTGAGGTGTCTATTAAGGTCTTTGGTCATTTTTTAATCAGGTAATTTGTTTTCCTTTTGTTGAATTTTAACACCACTTAAATTTTTTTAATAACAGTCCTTAATCAGATATGTATGCTGCAAATATTTTCTCCAGAATGTGGATTGGATTATCTTCTCATTGTCTTTATAGCAGCTTTCAAAGAACAGAAATTTTAAATTTTAATGAAGTCCGACTTATTGGTTACTTCTTACAGGGATTATGCCATTAGAGTTTTATCTAAAATTCATCACCAAAGCCAAGGTCCTCTACATTTTTCACTGTGTTTATCCTTTAGAGTTATAGTTTTGCTGTTACATTAGGTATATGAACTATTGATTTTTTCTGAAGGGTGTAAGGTTTATGTGTAGATGCAATTTTTTGCCTGAGGATGTTTGTTTCACAACTGTTGAAAAGACCGTTTTCTCCGTTGTATTGTTTTCGCTCTTTTGTCAATGTTCAGTTGGTTATATTTCTATGAGTCTGTTTCTGGTTTTATTGTTCTGTTCTTTTGATCTGTTTGTTCTTTCAATATTACCACTCTGTCTTGGATACTTTACCTGTATAATAAATATTGCACCTGTCCACTTTAAAACATTTTTTAAATGTACTATTTATTTGAAAGTCAGAAAGATACAGATAAAGATTTTCCCATCTATTGGTTCAGTCTCCAAATGCTCCCAACCTCTAGGGCTTGTTCAGCCCAAAGCTTGGAGCTGCCAACTCATTCTGGGCCTCCATGTGAGTTGCAGGGAACCAAGAACCTGAACCATCATCTGCTGCCTCCTTATTAGCAAGAAACTGGAATGGAAAGCAGAGCCAGGACTCAAACCTAGGGAGTCTAATATGGATATGTGTTCCAAGACTCATCTTAAACATTGTGTAAATGCCTAATCCCGTCTACTTTTATTGTGTCCCTTTCTCCCTCTAATTTGATTACTTGCAGAACCTTGTAAGTTCTTTAAATCAGTTCTAGGTTATATATTATTCTAGCCCTCTCTCATTTTCCTTGGTGTTTGTGAGCAGTTCACAATTCTTGCCCTCTTTATATCTCATGTTCTAGGCTGAAGGAGATTGTGGCATTCCAAAGATTCCAAGCCATTTCTTCTTTTTGTTCCTGAATCACGGCATTCAGTGTATTAGCATGAACTGTAATGGTTTACTAAGCAATTTCAGATCATCTCACTCATATTTCTCATTTCCATCACCATCATTTTACAGAGAAGTAAACTGAAGCTCTGTTCAACAAGCAATATTGCCAAGATCACAAGTTTTTCAGCCAGTCATCTGTTATTCACAGTGCATTTAATATGCTATTACTACACTTTAGTTCATCTAGAAGGAAAAGTTAGGAAAGAGTGAGTGTATGATGGGCCAAAACACAGATCATTTGCCCCATCCTTGTCCAAGCCCCTCAAGATCACATTCCTTTTCCCTGGCTTTTCCAAAACTAGTTGGTCTTCAAATCGCTAGCAGTTTCCTAAAAATTTATGTTTTGTATGAGCTCTGGATCAGTTGAACACTCTGCTGTATCATTGTAGGTAGGTTATTTATGCAGTGTTGATTATCATTTTCCTGAGTTGTCTCATGAAGTGGTTCCTAACACTTTTGCTACCAGGTTTAGCATTTTATGATTTAAGTTGGTTAACTATGAACAGTTTCAACTGGTTACAAGCCTTGCAGTGGGCTTATATTTTAGAGTGTGTGTCAGTGAATTATACAATATATGTAGCAGTTTTGGAGCTATGAGAGAGATGAAGGTTTGGAACAACTAGAATATTCAGTAGCTGCTTAAGTAAATAAATAGATATACATATTATTAGATACACTTTTTTTTAAAGATTTATTTATTTATTTGAAAGTCAGAGTTACACAGAGAGAGGAGAGGCAGAGAGAGAGAGAAAGAGGTCTTCCTTCTGATGGTTCACTCCCCAGTTGGCCGCAGCAGCTGGAGCTGCGCCGATCTGAAGCCAGGAACCAGGAGCCTCCTCCGGGACTCCCACATGGCTTCAGGGGCCCAAGGATTTGGTTCATCCTCTGCTGCTTTCCCAGGCCATAGCAGAGAACTGGATTGGAAGTGGAGCAGCCGGGTCTCTAATCAGTGCCCTTATGGGATGCCAGTGCTTCAGGCCAGAGCGTTAACCCACTGCGCCACAGCGCCAGCCCCATAGATACACACATTTGTAAATATGTGTGAGGGGTGAATTTTCCCTCTCACCTCAACTGATTTACTATGATTATTTAATTTCAGCCTTTGAACATTCCGTAAGCTGTTTATAGTCAGGTGTGCCTTTTTCACTTTTAAAATTTCACCTTTCAATGTAAGATTTCATTGCTTACTGACTGCTTTCCAGAGAGCAGAGATGAAACTCCCACTGACTTGCACCTGGTGTGATTCTGTAGGTGTGCATGTGGCTGCCCATCTGGTGAATGCCCTCAACTTCTCAGTGAACTACAATGAGGATTTTATTGAACTGAATGCAGCAAGATACCGAGATGAGGTGGGTGGTCTCTGTCTTCCCGTTTTCCCTTTACTTGTCATGAGATGACTAATGAGGGTCTGTGATTTTCATGGAAAATTTGTACCTTGCTGTTCCCTTTGAGTGCTTTTAAAATGCAGTTGTCAAGTTGAGTTTTATTCTTTTTCAGTAGAAAATATAGGTAATTACTATTTCGTAGTCTCTTCAACTGAAAATGGGAGTTTGCAAAGTGTCTACTTTTTATATTTGGCTGAGTTCAGATGGTTGCCACTCAGGCCTACCTTCTGACTCCCAGTAGCTCTCGTCTAATTCCTATCATTCAGCTGAGAGTGTCAGCAGTGCCATTACAGGGTAAAAATACTTTAATAACTCACATACAGTTCTTTGGAGAAAAAAGGCAGAAAAGCATGTTTATTTTGTAGATCCCAGATAATCAATATACTGATTTAAACAACATTAATGAGTTTTCATTATTCATTCTCTTTATTCACCTTTGAATAGGTGGTCTTGAGCTGAATTCTGTAGCAAGCAATATCTGATTTAGGGGTGCTTTTCTCCATGTGAAACCACTCATAAAATGAACTAGTATGTGCAGAGCGGTGGGCCAGGGCCTGGTGGATGTCTCTGGCAAAAGTCTTGTTAGGTCTCTGTTGCTCAGTGCTTCCATACGGTCTTTAGGCTCCTTTTGCTTCTCAATACCACGACTGCAGCAAATCCAAGACGCTCTGTGTCTCATTTGATCTGAACCCTGCCGGTTCTTCTAACTAAATCTGGTAGTGACAACTTATCTTTTGTACACTTTTGTTTCACAGATTCATATATGTAAAATTTTGGTTTAAAATAGATACACATTTTAAGTTTTGATGGACAGAGCCAGATTGCCTTCCTAAAATGCTTCTTCAATTTAGTAGATCAGAGTGTCTATTTCTATATCTTTTTGCTATTTTTTTAATTTGCCCATAAATGAAGAAGGCCACTAATTATTTTGAATTATATTTCCTGTTTCTTTACCTTCTTCCTTCCTTCTTTTATTTTTTCCTTCATGTTACTTTTGTTCTTCCTTCCTCTCGTTTTAATAATTATGTATGTAAAACCTGATAGGTGTGGGGCAATGTGCTCCATGTAGATAGAAGTAAGAGAAGTATATAGAATAAACAGATGTACTGTTCAGTGAATTGCATTTGAAAAAGAGAGTTGTTTTTTCCATCTATTTTTGGTTTTGGCTTTATGCTTTCACCTTGCTTGTAATGACCCATCCTGTGACTACTGTGCACCCTCACTTAAATCTGCTATAAGGGGCTGGTGCAGTGGTGTAGTAGGTAAGGTCACCACCTGCAGTGCTGGCATCCCATATGGGCACCAGCTTGGGTCCTGGCTGCTCCATTTGGATCTAGCTCTCTGCTATGGCCTGGGAAAGCAGTGGAAGATGGCCCAAGTCCTTGGGCCTCTGCACCTGTTTTGGAGACCCAGAAGAAGCTCCTGGCTACTGATCGGCCCCACTCCAGCCATTGCAGCCAATTGGCGAGTGAACTAGCGGATAGAAGACCTCTCTCTCACTCTCTGCCTCTCCTCTCTCTGTGTAACTCTGACTTTCAAATAAATAAATCTTTAAAAAAATCTGCTTCATATTCACATAGTCACATATTCACATCTATGTAGCGGTCACTCATCTGTCTTCTTTCCCTAGGAATAGTAATTGTTCTATCTACTGGATTTCCGTAGTAACTTCTAGTATTATCTCTTTGTTCAGCCTATCTCATATTTTTCCTGGTTGTTTGTTTATTGAGTTGAGGCTTTAGCCAAGCCTCTAATACCAGAAATACTTATCTAAGTCATCTGACCCAGGTAAGCCAAATGAGGAGCTGTTCCTGGTAAATGGTCCTTATTTGTGAACCCTGAAGTGACACCATGAAAATGGCTTCCTACTTAATATTAGCCTGGCCTGATCCTGAAGTCAGTGGAGGTATAAGGAAAGGAGTTCAAAAGCCTGTTCAGCAGTAAGTGCCATGAGGATAAAAGTAAATCCACACATCTCCTAGGGATTGATCTTGGTATTCCACAAGTCAGCAAGAGAGTTGACTGTGGTCCAGTTCTCATAGACCGTGGAAACATTAACATTTTCACATTGTAGCTGATGGTACTGAGCATCAAAATGGTTTAGCAGTAGGCTAAAAGCCACTGTCATTATTTTCTAAGTAGCCATTAAGATTAATACCTTGGCCTTCTGACTCACCCAGTGTTCCACCTTTCTCAGATGAATAGACTTATCTCAGTTGTGAAAATATGGCACAACTTAATTGAATCTCTTTTATTTCTCCTGAAAGAAAAGTGTCTTGCATGTCTGACGCATGGCTCTTTACCTGCAATCTGAATTTTGTATCACCAGTGCTTTCAAATTTTCAATCAAATTTTGTTTTCCCTCTTCAGGATCCTAGAAAGCTTCTCTTCACAACTGGTAAGTTGTTATTCATTGCTCTTTATATAGGTTCAAGAACACTATGATAATACACATTGTCAAACTGTATAGCAACTAGATACATGGTACAATATAGCATATGGAAAATTTGTATATCTGAACAAATATTAAGGAGTTCAAACATAAAGTTGCAATTATGTTTCTGTGTGGGAGCAAACTGTTGAAATCCATACTTAATGTATACTAAGCTGATCTTCTGTATATTAAGATAATCGAAAATGAATCTTGATGTGAATGGAAGGGGAGAGGGAGTGGGAAAGGGGAGGGTTGTGGGTGGGAGGGACGGTATGGGGGGGAAGCCATTGTAACCCATGAGTCGTACTTTGGAAATTTATATGCATTAAATAAAAGTTTAAAAAAAAAAAAGTGGAAATGCAAAAAAAAAAAATATCTGTGGAAGGTTATGCAGTCTCCAATTTACAACACAGATATTCAAACATGACCTACACTCAGGTCAAGACTGCATAAAAAAATCAAGAAATCCATAAACAATTGTCTCCCAAAGCTATCATTTTAAAATCTGTAGAATTTATAGTGATAAAAATTTTATATCTCTATTATTAATGGTGATATTTACTCTTCTTTTTTCTTTACAAATCATGCTAAGATCTCATTAAATGTGTTAACATGCTAGCAAAAACACTGGTTCTTTTCATGATTTTATATGGTTGATCTTTGGTTAAATTCTGTTATTTTACATCCACATAATTTCTCTACATTTTTATTAACATGCAATAATTTGATCTTTATGGAATAGTGTGATATTTAAAACCATGTTTATGGTATAGACTGACCAAACCATGAAAATTAACATTTCTGTATCCTTGTTTCTTAATGATTCAGCATTGCAGCCTCTCTCCTCCAGTTCATCATTAATTAATTAATAAACAATTATGAAATAAAAAAAAAGTTGCAATATGAGCAGAGGGAAGAGGCAAACAGTTGGGTTTTGAATGAGTGGAGAATAAGTGAACATGTTTCTCTGTTTTGAGCTCTACCAGTGAAAACAATGGAACCCCAGTAACCCCATATGCTTCCTGCTTTTTGCCCCCTGCCATTTTAACTGTGGTGGGATACAATATGTATGTAACAGATTCCTGCCCTCAGAGTATTGGAACACCAAAAAACTTTGCACTTCAATGTAGTTCTTTTTTTTTTTTTTTTTTTTTACAGGCAGAGTGGACAGTGAGAGAGAAAGGTCTTCCTTTTGCTGTTGTTTCACCCTCCAATGGCTGCCGCGGCCGGTGCACCGCGCCGATCCGAAGGCAGGAGCCAGGTGCTTCTCCTGGTCTCCCATGGGGTGCAGGGCCCAAGGACTTGGGCCATCCTCCACTGCACTCCCGGGCCACAGCAGAGAGCTGGCCTGGAAGAGGGGCAACCAGGACAGAATCCGGTGCCCCGACTGGGACTAGAACTCGGTGTGCCGGCGCCGCTAGGCTGAGGATTAGCCTATTGAGCCACGGTGCCGGCCAAATGTAGTTCTAACAATTTAGTGATTTAGTAGAACTTTTGATGATCTGAAAACCTATAAGAGAACCAGTCATTGAAATGAGTTATTTTTCTTGCGATATCTCTCCTTTTCCATTTGCAATTTATGTTCCTTCTTAACCTTATTGTCCATGAAATCTCAGTCTAGACTATTAATTTGTTAGAAGCACATTTGAACATCTCAAAATATTCCCCTGATAGACAATTCTTATGAACATTCCTCTCTTTCCCAGCCTTCCATTTATAAAGATGAAAGGAAAAGCGGCATTTGGTGGATTTTTACTATCTATTTCAGGGACAAAGACGGTTCTGTAGTTGAGATGATCTATCATAAACGTTTGGCTGTAATAAGCTATTAAGGATCAGAATTGAACATGGGGATGAGGCACATTATCCTGTCAAATGCATTGTTCTTTTTGGATCAATTTATGATGAAAAATAACTATAATTCAGGTGCTTTACCTCTTCATGTCACAAGTATATATTTAGATTTATGAAATACATTATGTTTCTGCCTATAGATTTATGATATTTGCCACTGGTACAGTATTTCAAAGCTTTGTCTCTTGGAACACAGTTTTATTTTGCTTTCAATTTTTGCTCCTTGCAATCATGTTTGCATTTAAGCTTCAACAATTAGATGACAAATAGGAGGGAAGGAAAATACAAAACCCAAACATCATAATATAAATTAATGAAATTTTTGGTTCATATGAATTAATTTGAGGAATAAAGAAGAACATTAGTACTTTACAAAGCCTTCGGGCATTTAAAATATTTTATGAAGTTAACCTTACAAAGGTATGAATAGATCTCTTGTCTGAGTAAGGTATTACATTAAGTAAGACACTTTGTGTAACTTGTGTAACTAAAGCCTCTGTAATTTGGTGATCTCTCTCCTTAACAGGAGATCCCATCATCCTACATTGTTTTCTGGAGGTCTCCCTGAGGTATTGGGCTTAGGATAGAAGATACTTAAAAACAGATTTCTAGACTCCCTCTTTTTTTTTTTTTTTTTTTTTTTTGACAAAGTGGACAGTGACAGAGAGAGACAGAGAGAAAGGTCTTCCTTTGCTGTTGGTTCACTCCTCAATGGCCGCTGTGGCTAGCACACCACGCTGATCCGGAGCCAGGAGCCAGGTGCTTATCCTGGTCTCCCATGCAGGTGTAGGACCCAAGCACTTGGGCCATCCTCCACTGTACTCCCAGGCCACAGCAGAGAGCTGGACTGGAAGAGGAGCTACAGGGACAGAATCAGGCTCCCCGACTGGGACTAGAACCCCGGGTGCCGGCGCTGCAGGCAGAGGATTAGCCTATTGAGCCATGGCACCGGCCATAGACTCCCTCTTAAAGAGTCCCTGGGAGAGACTTGACAGTGTGTTTTGCTAGCCTTCCAATAACCTCTGAAGCTGCTGTTCTTCCTCTGCTTTACCCATCATCATACCCTCTCACTACTACCCGCATTTTTACCTGGAATAGCCTATTCTCGTTTGTTCCCCTAGCCAATCGCTTCTCACCCTTGAAATCATATTGACAAGTACAAACTCCTCCCTAACTGGACTAGGCAGAGCTGGTCTCTTCTTGGTTGAGGTTTATATATCTGCATACTAGAAATAATATGTGGTAGAATAGTTTTCTTTCCTATCTACATTGTTCTTTCCACTTGGAGATTGCTTCTAGAATATGCAGAGTTTCTGTTATTATAAACAATTTAAACCCCTCAAAATCCACAAATGAGCACCATTTTGGTGTCCTAGTCTCACATAATTTCTTCAAATACTGTTATGACCAAGAACCTTCACTTGCCAGATTTTTAACCTGGAGCTAAGACTGAGACATAACAGTCTGTAAGTATGGCTCTGGTACTACTAAACCATCTGATTAACTACACTGCATGGTAGCTGGTGAAAGAGAGAAGTGGAGCCTAGGGAGGGCGTTAGGATGAGAAACACTGCTTTCTACATTTAGATTGAATCCAGTTTTTTAATTACCAAAACTGACTAAAACTATTTCACAGCCATCCTTAAATGTTCTGGAACACAGCATGTAAGAAAAAAATAAGTGCCTGATTAAGGAATTGTGCTTATGTTTTTAGGTATTCTGGTGTCAAAGAACATTTTTCTTAGTTGGTAGATTTCTTGGACTTTAGCTTCTAAAATCTAAAGATTTTAGCTTCTATCTGTGCTTAAATTTTTTAAATATAAAGTATGATTGGTAAATTAAGATTGTTTTATGGAAAATAAAGACTATGATTATAAAATATAAGATATGGTAGTTAGACTGTTATATAAAGAATGGTGAAATATTCCAATTATTTTATTTATAAAATAATAAAATAAATTTAATAGTCTGGATTATAGAATCATTCATTAAAAATGATGTAACTTACATGATGTTACTAAAATGCTCAGTATCTAATTTCAATTATAAAAACTTGCATAAGAAACTATAATCATGTTTCCAATTATATTAGGAAATAGAGGAATGTATGGATTATGGTATATTTCTGACAATATCTAAGTGTGGATGAAAATGATCCCTCAGAAATGGTAGCATACTACAATTATTTCTTTTATTTTAGAATTTATTTATTTACATATTGGAAAAGCAGAGTGACATATAGGGAGACCCAGATATACAAACACACATGAGGGGAGAGAGACAGAGAGAAAGAGAGAGAGAGACCGAGACCTAGAGACAGAGATTTTCATTCTGTTGATTCACTCCCCAAATGGCCCCAACAATCAAGGCTGGCCCAGACCAATGCCAGGAATTAGGAATATTAACCTGGTCTCCCATATGGATGGAAGGGCCAAGTCCTTGGGTCATCTTCTGCCTTCTCAGATGTATTAGCTGGATCAGAAGCAGAGTAGCTGGAACCAGAATCAGCGCTTTGATGTGGGATATTGTAGTCCCAAATGGTGGGTTTAACCTATTCTACCACAGCACCAGCCCCTTCAATTACTTATTTTAAAGGATACTAATCATTGATTCTGATATGCTTAGATAAAAGGCAGTAAGAATAAACATAACAGATTCTGTTTTTTAAAGATTTGTTTATTTGAAAGGCAGAATAATGTTTGCAGTTTCAGTCCCCAAATGTCCACAATTGTCGGGCCTTGACCAGTTTGAAGTCAGGAGTCAGAAACTTCCTCCCAGTCTCCCATGTGGGTGGCAGGAACCCATATACTTAGGCCACTGTTTCCCAGGCACATTAGATCCAGGAAATTGGATCTGAAGTGTTGGGTAACTGGGACTAGAGTTAAGCCACTTCACTATGAGATTTGAGCATCCCAAGTATTGGCTTAACCTGCTGTGCTATAATATCATCCCACAAAAATGCATTTTCTGAGGAAAGAAGAATATGTTTGGCTGCATAACTTAAAGAGCTTGAAGAATTCACAGGAAAACGCATATGCTTAAATGAATCAGTTTACCAGGTGAGATTAAACAATTCCAGTAATTTCCTGTAAATTCCTGTATTTCCTGACTACAGGGATTTGCAGCAAAGGAGGCTAATATACCCTTAGCTAAATTGTCTTCCAAGACTAGTTAGGGTGTCCCTTTATGTACCCCGGAAATAGTCAGTGCTCAACAGTGTTTTTAGTACTTTAATGATCTATGTTGCAATTGCCTACTTAATCTGTCTGCCACCATCACTGGATAGAAGTTCTTGTAGAGACAGAGAGAAAGGTCTTCCTTTGCTGTTGGTTCACCCTCCAATGGCCGGCGCACTGTGCTGATTTGAAGCCAGGAGCCAGGTGCTTATTCTCGTCTCCCATGGGGTGCAGGGCCCAAGCACTTGGGTCATCCTCCACTGCACTCCTGGGCCACAGCAGAGAGCTGGCCTGGAAGAGGGGCAACCGGGACAGCATTCGGCGCCCCGACAGGGACATGAACCCGGTGTGCTGGCGCCGCAGGTGGAGGATTAGCCTAGTGAGCCGCGGCGCCAGCCAGGATTTATTTTATCTCTATCACTTTAACAGTAGTACATTTGTAGATGCCTAGAAACAGTTCATTGAATGAATAAAAGCTATTTGATGACTTCTCTTACTTGATGCATGTGTTTCTACAGTCTCTAACATTCCAGTTAATAGGTTAGTTTGTTTACTTACAGTGATGGTGGCTTATTAAAGTGAAGCCTCCTTTTTTTTTTTTTGAGTACTCTAATTACAGTAAGTTTATTTTTTTATTGCTAAGGTGTTTTTTTCCATGTTTCTTTTATCTAAAGTCTATTAATTTATAAATTATGAATTCTAGTCTTCTTGTACTTTTGGAAGACAGAAAGAAATTAATTCTTGGGGACAGTGCTGCAGTTTAGTAGGCCAAGCCTCTGCCTGTGTCACTGGCATCCCATATGGATGCTGGCTTGATCCAGTTCTTTGCTAATGCCTGGGAAAGCAGTGAAAGATGGCCTAAGTGCTTGGGCCCCTGCACCTACATGGGAGACCTGGAAGAAGCTGCTAGCTCCTGGCTTCAGATCGGCCCAGTGACGGTCATCACAGCCAGTTGTGGAGTGAACCAGCAGATGGAAGACCTCTCTTTGACTGTCCCTCTCTCTCTCTCTGTATTTCAACCTCTCAAATAAATAAATAAAATCTTTAAAAAAGAATATTAATTATTTAGATAAGAGATAGTTTAATAAACAGTATCCTAATCCCAGACTATATAGGAATATTCCCCATCCTGCGCTTTCTGGGTCTTCTACTTTATCTTCAAATAACTGAAGTCACCTATTTTATGCCCTCCAAGTTCTTCCAGTGTGTTTTTTGTATTCTTATTCTAAAAGTGGTTCTCTGGTCAAATAAGTTTGAGGAAATATTTAAATTTAAACAAGTTTCTTGCTTTGAGTACCTCCCAGAGACTTTTATACAATATTGTGCTCTGTAACCTCATGGAATAGTAATGGAATTTTGGAATAATACAATTACTATCTCAAGGAATTAGGTGCAAGTTATATATTTAGGAAATTATGACTCTATCATAAACATGATCGGTTTTTCAGGTGTTCTTCCAGTGAGGTGATTTTCCAGTATTCCATAATGTATCTTGGCATGATCAGAACCGCATGGGCTGGGGCCAGTGTCGTGGCATAGCAGGTAAAGCTGCTGCTTGTGACACTGGCATCCCATATGGGCACTAGTTTGTGTCCTGGCTGCTCCGTTTCCCCACTTCTGACCCAGCCCTCTGCTAATTGCCTGGGAAATGCAGCATAAGATGACCCAGGTGTTTGGGACCTGCATCCATGTGGGAGTCCCTGATGAAACTCCTGGCTCCAGGCTTTGGCCTGGCTCAGCCCTTGTCGCAACTATCTGGAGAGTGAACTAGCAAATGGAAGATCTCCTCTCTCTCTTTATCTCCCTCTGTCTCTGTGTAGCTCTGACTTTAAAATAAATAAATAAAGCAAACACACATAGGAAGCTTTGAATATAAATCTATTAGGTCATTAATAAAGGACCGATAAAGTTATCAGAGGGTCCCCTTTAGCTACAAATTTCACACTATGTAGCCATCTGGATTGCCACATTTATTTATTCATTTGGTCAAATAAGGGACTTTTTTTTTTTATCTAAATCACTTTAAACTGGAGAGACAAACCTCCTCTTTATAGCCTTAAAATTGATGGAGTTGTAATTGAATTTCACTAAATTATACATGTGTTTTTGAAACATCAGCCCTTATCTGAGCACTGGTTTTAGTCCTTGTGCTTTGTTTCCAATCCAGTTCCCTGCTAATGTGCCTGGGAAAGCAGCAAAAAATTACCTAAGTTCTCAGACCCCTGTCATCCAGGTTGGAGACTCAGATGGAGTTCCAGGTTTTGGCCTGTTTCAGAAGCCCCAGCCATTGCAGCCATTCGGGAACTAAATATGCAGATAGAAGATCTGTTTCTGTGTCTCTCCCTCTCTCGCACTCTGCTTTTCAAATAAGTAAAATAAATTTGAAAAAAAAAAAAAAGCAGCAGTGCTGTTTTTTCCTGAAAATTACAGCTTTTGTTCTACATTTTTTTAAGTTTTCAGTTTTTGTTTTTTTATTTATTTATTTTTTGACAGGCAGAGTGGAAAGTGAAAGAGAGAGACAGAGAGAAAGGTCTTCCTTCTTTTCCGTTGGTTCACCCTGCAATGGCCACTGGGGCTGGCACATCATGCTGATCCGAAGCCAGGAGCCAGGTGCTTCTCCTGGTCTCCCATGGGGTGCAGGGCCCAAGAACTTGGGCCATCCTCCACTGCACTCCCAGGCCATAGCAGAGAGCTGGACTGGAAGAGGGGCAACCGGGACAGAATCCAGCACCCCGACTGGGACTAGAACCCTGGGGTGCCGGTGCCGCAGGTGGAGGATTAGCCTATTGAGCCACGAAGCTGGCCTGTTTATTTTTTTGAAAATCTTTAAGATGATGAAATTCAAAAGCAGTTATTTCATGTTGAAACTAAAAGTGCTGCCAGTTGCATCTAAGGGGATAAGATCGAGTAAGGGAGACTGGGTGCTAGGGAATATACAACAAAAACAATAAGGATGTCAAATATTAATTCCACCCCAATACATTAATTACTGACATTTGGTATAGTATATGCTTGTATGTGTTTACCATTCTGAGTAGAATATTTGGGAATACAAGAATGGACTTTTCAGTTAAAGGAATGAAAGTCTCTGTCTTAAGTACTCTGAAACTGTTAACTTTAAAAAGGCTTGTTTGAGAGAGAATATACATGCTGGCATGCTACTTAAATTAGGCTTCCCACAGAACAGTACAGTACTTTGGATTTTAAGGTAATGATTCTTGGCACTTTTTTCTCTGTGTGATTTAGATTAAAATGTACTTATGTGCATTTTTGTAGTTCCTGGCCTGACAGGAGTCTGCATGGTAATGGTGCTATTCCTCATGGTTACAGCTTCTACTTATGCAATAAGGTAAGTGTCAAGGTTACTATGTTGGTGTTTACCACTCAGACTCTGTAGATTTTCTTTGGGTCTTCTTAATTTTCACATAGAAAAAAAGTCTTGACTAATCTAAGTATTTAACCAACACAGTGTAACTAAAGTGAGGTTTGTATGTTTATATATATTTTATTTTTAGAAAGTCTCTTCATTAAACACATTTTCTGTATTGATAAGGAGTTGTGTTTGGAGACTCCTTTTGATGACCCAGGGAATATCCATTCTTCAGGATCACACCCTTCTGAAGAATAACACAGTTCTGTGGGAAATGGGACTGAATTAAATGTGCACATCCAGGGACTTTGGGAATTCGTAGAAATAGAAGACAAAATTATTTTATAGCTAATTTCCTAAAATGTGTATTTTTCTATAACTTAACACAGTGTTCTAAGCAAAGCACTGGAAACATAGTTGGCTGACATCCCCCCAAATAACTGGATAACCTGTGTTCATATTGATTCTTCTAGATAGGTTTTCAACAAATTCAGTTTAACATTACCAGGAATATTTTTACACGTTAGAAGGGATGCTTGCTATTTATCAGAATATTTTTAATGGTCATGATCCTGTTTAAAAAAGCAGAAAGAAGAAAAATTTATGTTTCTTCTAATCTTCAAAAAATCTTCTATCATTCAAACTGCTGATTTGTGAGAGTTAATGGAAACATACGTACATATGCTTGGAAAATAATTACCCACTAAAATGTTCAAATGAGTTTATCCTTACCCTCTAAAAACACTATGTGTATACATACATATGCTCCCCAAACTTCACAGGTAAATTCACCACTCAGTGATTAATGCCATAAACGTTTCTGTGCTTATTCATTCCTTACTTCCTAGTCCCATTAAAATCACTCTTTTTCTCCTTCTCACACTCCTAATCTCTGTTTTTCTTCATGTATCTATGTATTTTAGCAACATAGTATCATATTATTATATTATTTTTATCTTCTTTTTACTTAAATTTGTGTTATGAAAATTTTCTCACATTAGTAAATATTTGTTTACCACTCTCTTTGCTGATGCCACAGTTGATCACTAAATAGGGGTAGATGTTTGGCTTAGTGGTTAAGATGCTTGTCTCCCATATTGGAGTGCTTGGGCTTGATTGCCAGCTCCAACTTCCTGTTTTTGCTTTCTGCCTTTGAAGATTCTGGAGGGGAGCCAGCCGGGCCTGTGGGTAATGGGTAAAGCTTCTGCCTGCAGTGCAGGCATCCCATATGGGCATAGGTTCAAGTCCTAGCTGCTCCACCTCCAATCCAGCTTTCTGATAATGGCCTAGGAAAGCATTGGAAGATGGTCCAAGTGTTTGGGTACTTGCACCCACATGAGAGACTGGTAGAAGCTCTTGGTTTCTGATCAGCGCAGCTCCAGCTGTTGAGGCCATCTGGGAAGTGAACCAGCAGATGGGAGACCTTTCTCTTTCTCTCTCTCCCTCTCTCTCTCTCTGTAATTCTACTTCTCAAATAAATAAATAAATCTTAAAAAAATATTCTGGAGGGCAGCATGTAATCTCTCAAGGTCTCTGCCACCATCATGAGAGGTGATTGAATTCCTAGTTCCTGACTCTGATCCTGGGCCTATCCCTGGACATTATGGGCATTCAGGTAATGAACCAACAGTGAGGAGCTCCATCAGTCTGTCTCTCTCTGTGTCTCTGTGGGTTGATTCCACCCTACTGATATTTCGTTTCTGAAGCAAACATGCCATTCCTATGACTTTACATGCTGTTTCAATAATATTGTCAGGAGAACTTTGTAAATGTAGAATAGCTGGGTCAAATGGAAAGCACACTTTTAAAACTTTTCATAAGAATTAAAAATTACCACGGAGCCAAGATGGCGGAATAGTGAGGGCGCGCACCGATAATCCGGGAAAATTTAGTTTAATAAAAGTGGAGTTACAGTAGCCTCAGAAAAAGGATCAGGAAAAAATTGCAGAGGAAACTCTTCCGGATCTAGTGGCTGTGACTCGGAGGACCTACGGGGAGAGCAAGGTTGCCCACTGCGCAGAAGCGGAGCCACAGGAGCCACAGGGTCTGCGTGCCAGTGCGGGAAGGGGAGTGAATGTGACACAGACGACCAGTGGGGAGAGCAGGGACGCCCAGGGCTCCGAGTCCAAACATCCACGCTGGAAGGGGAGGTGAGCTCAGTAACCCGAGACGTTGGCGGTCAGAATCTAGAGAGAGCAGGCTTGAGGCAGGAAAGTTCACCAGACTGACTACAGGAGAGAAGGAAAAAAAAAAAAAAAAGATGGAGGGGTACTGGTACAGAGGAGTTTCTCTCTCTGCCAACCTTGCAAAGGCAAGCAAGAGACAAAGAGCAAGCCCCACTCTGGATATACATAACAAAAGGGGAGACCTAAGGAACTGAGGCGCTACAATTCAGTAGCTTAGGCAACCCAGTGGGAGTCCGCAGGAGAAACTGAGCCTGCACAGACTCTATGGATAGAAGCCAGAGATTGGAAGCTAAATACCATCAATTCTGCTCAGTTGTGCGGTATTACTTACCTCCTGAATAAAAAAAAAATAAAAATAAATAAATAAATAGAGAGAGATTTACCATGCATAACCTGAGGGTGTCACCTTTGCACACCCGTAAACCGGAAGAACCAAGCAGATCTCTCAGGCCACACCCATCTCAAGCCTCCAAGGCTCCTCCAACAGCAGGCAGTCCGCTTAACACAGACATAGTATAAAACAACAACAACAACAAAAACTCACAGTGAGGGAAGAAGAATTAACAATGCCAAGCAACAAACACAAAAATCGAGGGAACAAGATCAACAATGACACTGTGACACCTCCACATAAACAAAACACCCCAAGTCAAGATTATGAAGATGATGAGATAGAAGAAATGCAAGATATGGATTTCAAAAAATTTGTGATAAGAACATTTAGAAGTTTTCAAAAGCAAATCCTTGAACTACAGAAATCCTTATTGGACAGTATTGAAATTCTCTCTCGTGAAAATGAAATTTTAAGGAAGAATCAAAATGAAACACAGAAACTAGTAGAACAGGAAAGTGTGATAGTGAAGAGAAATCAAAATGAAATGAAGAGCTCAATAGATCAAATGAAAAACACATTAGAAAGTCTAAAAAACAGAGTCAGTGAAACAGAAGAGAGAATATCGGACTTAGAAGACAGAGCACAGGAAAACATACAGTCAAACCAAAGAAAAGAAGAGGAAATTAGAAAAAATATTGTTGGGAATCTACAGGATACTATTAAAAAAACCAACATTCGAGTTCTAGGAGTTCCTGAAGCCATGGAGAGAGAGAGGATTAGAAGGCCTTTTTAGTGAGATACTAGCAGAGAACTTTCCGGGTTTGGAGAATGACAGAGACATCCCAGTACAGGAAGCTCATAGAACCCCTAGTAAACATGACCAAAAGAGATCCTCAACATGACATGTTGTAATTAAACTCACCACAGTGAAACATAAAGAAAAGATCCTAAAATGTGCAAGAGAGAAACGTCAGATTACTCTCAGAGGATCTCCAATTAGACTCACAGCAGACTTCTCATCAGAAACACTACAAGCTAGGAGGGAATGGTGAGACATAGCATAGGTGCTAAGAGAGAAAAATTGCCAGCCCAGAATATTATAACCTGCTAAGCTCTCATTTGTGAATGAAGGTGAAATAAAGACCTTTCATAGCAAACAGAAATTGAAAGATTTTGTGGCCACTCGTCCGGCCCTGCAAAAGATACTTAAAGATGTGCTACACTCAGAAACACAGAAACACGGCCATCAATATGAAAGAAGGTAAAGGAAGAAAACCTACCAGTAAAAGAGCATAGGAAGCTCAAAGCATATACTAGAAAATATCTCCGGGAAAATGGCAGGACAAAGTCCCTATGTATCAATAGTCATATTAAATGTTCATGGACTTAACTTTTTCAGTTAAAAGACACCGATTGGCTGATTGGCTCAAGGAACACAACCCAACTATTTGCTGCCTACAAGAAACATCTCTCTCTAACAAAGATGCATGCAGACTGAAAGTGAAAGGTTGGGAAAAGATATTCCATGCCAACAGAAACATAAAAAAGCAGGTGTAGCCATATTAATATCAGACAAAATAAACTTTAATACAAAAACTGTTAAGAGAGACAAAGAGGGGCACTATATAATGATTAAGGTTCAATTCAACAGGAAGATGTAACTATTATAAATGTATATGCACCTAATTACAGGGCACCGGTCTATTTAAAAGATATGTTAAGGGACTTAAAGGGAGACTTAGATTCCAATACAGTGGTACTGTGGGACTTAAATACTCCACTCTCAGAAATAGACAGATCATCTGGACAGAAGATCAACAAGGAAACAGCAGATTTAATCGACACTATTGCCCAAATGGATCTAACAGATATCTACAGAACTTTCAATCCTACATCTAAAGAATTCACATTCTTCCCAGCAGTGCATGGAACCTTCTCTAGGATTCATCACATACTAGGCCATAAAGCAAGTCTCAGCAAATTTAAAAGAATTAGAATCATCCCATGCAGCTTCTCAGACCACAGCAGAATGAAGCTGGAAATTAGCAACTCAGGAAATCCTAGAAAGTATGTAAACACATGGAGACTGAACATCATGCTCCTGAATGAACACTGCGTCATTCAAGAAATCAAAAGAGAAATCAAAAACTTTCTGGAAGTAAATGAAGACAACAACACAACATATCAAAACTTATGGGATACGGCAAAAGCAGTATTGAGAGGCACGTTTATAGCAATAGGTGCCTATATCAAGAAATTGGAAAGGTACTAACTAAAAAAAGAAGAGAAAAGACTCAAATCAATAAAATCAGAGATGAAAAAGGAAACGTAACTACAGATACCACAGAAATAAAAAGATTCATCAGAAATTACTACAAGGACTTGTATGCCAGCAAACAGGAAAAGCTATCAGAAATGGATAGATTCCTGGACACATGCAATCTACCAAAATTGAACCATGAAGACATAGAAAACCTAAATAGACCCATAACTGAAGCAGAAATTGAAACAGTAATAAAGGCCCTCCCAACAAAGAAAAGCCCAGGACCAGATGGATTCACTGCTGATTTCTACCAGACATTGAAAGAATAACTAATTCCATTTCTTCTCAAACTATTCAGAACAATAGAAAAAGAGGGAGTCCTCCCAAATTCTTTCTATGAAGCCAGCATCACCTTAATCCCTAAGCCAGAGAAAAATGCAGCACTGAAATAAAATTATAGACCAATCTCCCTGATGAACATAGATGCAAAAATCCTCAATAAAATTCTCGCCAATAGAATACAACAACACATCAGAAAAATCATCCACCCAGACCAAGTGGGATTCATCCCTGGTATGCAGGGATGGTTTAACATTCGCAAATCAATCAATGTGATTCACCACATTAACAGACTGCAGAAGAAAAACCATATGATTATCTCAATAGATGCCGAGAAAGCATTTGATAAAATTCAACACCCTTTCATGATGAAAATTCTAAGCAAATTGGGTATGCAAGGAACATTCCTCAATATAATCAAAGCAATTTATGAAAAACCCACGGCCAGCATCCTATTGAATGGGGAAAAGTTGGAAGTATTTCCACTGAGATCTGGTACCAGACAGGAATGCCCACTCTCACCACTGCTATTTAACATATTTCTGGAAGTTTTAGCCAGACCATCAGACAAGAAAAAGAAATTCAAGGAATACAAATTGAGAAGGAAGAACTCAAACTATCCCTCTTTGCAGACGATTTGATTCTTTACTTAGAGGATCCAAAGAATTCTACTGAGAGACTATTGGAACTCATAGAGGAGTTTTGCAAATTGGCAGGATATAAAAATCAATGCACAAAAATCAACAGCCTTTGTATACACAAGCAATGCCACGGCTGAGAAAGAACTGCTAAGATCAATCCCATTCACAGTAGCTACAAAAACAATCAAACACCTGGGAATAAACTTAACCAAGGAGATTAAAGATCTCTACAATGAGAATTACAAAATCTTAAAGAAAGAAATAGAAGAGGATACCATAAAATGGAAAAATCTTCCATGCTCATGGATTGGAAGAATCAACATCATCAAAATGTCCATTCTCCCAAAAGCAATTTATAGATTCAATGGAATCCCAATCAAGATACCAAAGACATTCTTCACAGATCTAGAAAAAAATGATGCTGAAATTCATATGGAGGCACAAGAGACCTCGAATAGCTAAAGCAATCTTGTACAACAAAAAGAAAGCCGGAGGCATCACAATACCAGATTTCAGGATATACTACAGGGCAGTTTTAATCAAAACAGCATGGTACTGGTACAGAGACAGATAGATAGACCAATGGAACAGAATAGAAACACCAGAAATCAATCCAAACATCTACAGCCAACTTATATTTGATCAAGGATCTAAAACCAATTCCTGGAGCAAGGACAGTCTGTTCAATAAATGGTGCTGGGAAAACTGGGTTTCCATGTGCAGAAGCATGAAGCAAGACCCCTACCTTACACCTTACACAAAAATCCACTCAACATGGATTAAAGACCTAAATCTACGACCTGACACCATTAAGTTATTAGAGGACATTGGAGAAACCCTTCAAGATATTGGCACAGGCAAAGAGTTTCTGGAAAAGACTCGGGAGGCACAGGCAGTCAAAGCCAAAATCAACTATTGGGATTGCACCAAATTGAGAAGTTTCTATACTGCAAAAGAAACAGTCAGGAGAGTGAAGAGACAACCGATAGAATGGGAAAAAATATTTGCAAACTATGCAACAGATAAAGGGTTAATAACCAGAATCTACAAAGAGATCAAGAAACTCCACAAAAACAAAACAAACAACCCACTTAAGAGATGGGCCAAGGACCTCAATAGACATTTTTCAAAAGAGGAAATCCAAATGGCCAACAGGCACATGAAAAAATGTTCAAGGTCACTAGCAATCAGGGAAATGCAAATGAAAACCACAATGAAGTTTCACCTCACCCCGCTTAGAATGGCTCACATGCAGAAATCTACCAACAACAGTTGCTGGCGAGGATGTGGGGAAAAAGGGACACTAACCCACTGTTGGTGGGAATGCAAACTGGTCAAGCCACTATGGAAGTCAGTCTGGAGATTCCTCAGAAACCTGAATATAACCCTACCATACAACCCAGCCATCCCACTCCTTAGAATTTACCTCCTGGAGCTGCGTTGATCTGAAGCCAGGAGCCAAGAACTTCTTCCCGGTCTCCCACATGGATGCAGGGGCCCAAGGACTTAGGCCATCTTCTACTGCCTTCCCAGGCCATAGCAGAGAGTTGTATCAAAAGTGTCCTATCTGGGACTAGAAACCGGTACCCATATGGGATGCTGGCACTGAAGGCAGCGGCTTTACCCACTGAGCCGCAGCTTGGCCTTCACCTCATAACTTTAAAATAAACCTATTGGGGCTAGCGCTGTGCACACTAGGTTAATCCTCTGCCTGTGGTGCTGGCATCCCATATGGGCACCGGTCCTAGTCCTGGCTGTTCCTCTTCCAGTCCAGCTCTCTGCTATGGCCTGGAAAAGCAGTGGAGGATGGCCCAAGTGCTTGAGCCCCGGTACCTGTGTGTGAGTCCTGGAGGAAGCTCCTGGCTCCTGGCTTTGGATTGGCACAGTTCTGGCTGTTGTGGTCATCTGTGGAGTGAACCAGAGGAGGGAAGACCTTTCTCTCTCTCTCTCTCTCTTACTGTCTGTAACTCTACCTCTCAAATAAATAAATAAAAATCTATAAAAAATAATAAACCTATCATTTTAATTCTTTACATTGTGACTATTTGAAATACAAAGAACAAATCATGTGGTTTATGATTCTGTTAGCTGTCTCTGTGATATGTAAATACTTTGATATTGATAGATCTCAGATGAATTAATATTTTAGCTTTCTTAAATTGGGAAATTATGTGTAATCTTTTTAGTGTGATGGAATATGAAGGTGCATTAAACTAATTCATTTGTTTTTCAGAGTTTCTAACTATGACATCTTCTGGTATACTCATAACCTCTTCTTTGTCTTCTACATGCTGCTGATGTTGCATGTGTCAGGGTAAGTTTTAAAGCATATTTTCAAAACTGTATGTATCTAAAAATAAGGTAGTGAAATAACTTTAGGAATTTTAATTGGAAGTGGTAAAATTGTTTGGTGACTTTGAATTGAGGATAGTGTTAGTGGTAGAAGAAATAGCATAGCTTACTTTAATGAAACCTGCATAAAAATATTAAAACTGAAAGCAATAGCTACTTCTCTCAAAGACTGTGGTTTTTAAAGGCCGCTAGATGTACAATCTAATATGCTCTAGAAGCATATTAGTAAAAAGTGAATACATTCAGAAATATAGTGTCTCTGTTTTCAGAAAAGGTCTTGGTATTGCAGAATTTGTAACAATGTTAAGTACCAGTTTTTAGTTTTAAAAGTTCTAGATCCTTCAGTCATTACAAAGAAGCCAAAGTTTTATAACAACCAAAGACAAACTGTCAAGGAAGCATCCTAAGCTTGTTAAAAAGAAAATAATAAAATATTCTCAAGGTATGTGTGCTCAAGCAGTATGTTCAAAAGTAGGGTGTCTAAAATAATCCATGGTAGTAGCAGAGGAAAATCATGTATTTTTGTGTGTGTATATGTTTGTGTGGCCACCAGCAGTGGGCTTGGTTGTGTCATGATCATAGTGTATCACAGCCTGTAACCTGCTTGTGTCACACTCATAGAACATCATAGGCTGTTGTTGGGTTGTATCATGCTCATATTGACATCATTGGCCATTATCTGGAATGAGGTTCCTTAGGAATAGCAGAATACAGGTCAGCCAACAGAATCAGCAGGATAATGCCAAGTGCTGCTTCAGCAGACTCTCTATAGTTGCTAGGAACCATTTTCTACCTCCCCTTCCTCCTCACCATCCACTAACATCTCACGTTTTATGATAAGGAGACCTCTGGATAGGTCTGGACTAGCTTGCCTTGGGTAACACTCAATCTACACAGAGTCTAATGTTTTGATATCAGCCCAGGTCCTCTCAAGGAATGACCTCCATTGAATGAACATGGTGAACACAGGTCTGTGGGTCTGTGGGTCTCAGAGTTTTCCAGTTCAATTTCAGTCCTTCTGTTCCAGATGCATTTCCCTAACAATAAACAATGTTGCCTGGTAGCAGCACTGGCATTCCTCATTTATTTTAGCCTGAAATATTTCGGGGGACATGGTGTTTAGAGACAAGTTGAGACCTGCTTTTATTTTTTTCTCCAATATTTTTTTAAAGATTTATTTATTTATTTGAAAGGCAGAGTTACAGAGAGGCAGAGGCAGAGAGAGAGAGGTCTTCCTTCTGCTGGTTTACTCCCCAGATGACTGCAACAGCTGAAGCTGGGCCAATCTGAAGCCAGGAGCCAGGAGCTTCTTCTGGGTCTCCCATGCAGATGCAGGGGCCTAAGGACTTGGGCCATCTTCTACAGCAGTTGCATAATGCCTCCTATATGTCAAGTTCAAAAATATTTAGTTATTTTGTGTCATTTGATGCTTAGAAATTTATGAAGATATATAATAGTGTTAAACCCCCTTTAAAAATGAGAAAACTGGGGACAGTGTGGTGGCATAGCAGGTTAAGTGGCTGCCTATGACACTGGCATACCATATGGGCCAGTGTTCAAGTCCTGGCTGCTCCACTTCCTATTCAGCTCCCTGCTAATGTACTTGGGAAGCAGTGGAGCATTGCTCAAGTACTTGGGCATCTGGTCCACGTGGAAGACCCAGATGAAGCTCCTGGCTCCTAACTTTGAACTGGCTTAGCCCTGGCAGTCAGAAGCCATTTGTGAGTAAACCAGCAGATGGAAGATCTATGTCTCTCTTCCTCTGTTAGTAACTTTGTCTTTCAAATAAATCAATAAACCTTTTAAAAAAATTAAAATGAGAAAATCTGAGGTTTGTAGTATCAAAATAACTTGCTGAAACTGATAGATCCTGGATTCAATCTTAGGCATTTTTATTCAACTATTCCTAATGACTGTATCTTTTTGGAGTACTCTGTACTTCTGAGAATTTGGACTTGATAATTTAAAAAATATTTATATTGACTTATTTGGGATCAGAATCCATCATATCAAATGTCAAAAAATGACCTCATTTATTAGTATAAATAATTATATGTTCTTTTGCTTTATGTTTTACTAAATTACAACTTCAAGAAAAAAATTGTAATTTAAAAGAGCCTTTTTTTTTTTTTTCCAAGTTCAGTTCAGACCTCTTGTGTGTAAAGAAGATTATGTTGATAATTCTTTCACCATTTTTGGAGGTATAAAAAGGCATATTTCAAATTTGACTTTCTTTTTATAAAACCAGATCATAGGCAGATGACTTTGTACAAGTAACAAAAAGGTATTTACAAGATGAACTATATCTAATCAATCTATTTTACAGTTGAATTAATGGTTCTTTACTTACTGTTGGTAGAAATGAAGAAACCAATTATTCTAATGTTGAAATGAATGTCATACAGCACATGCAAAACACAGAACATGTTCTACAATGTGTATTTTTTTCTATGAAGTTTGATTTTTTCAATAAAGCAACATAGTTTATGCTTCTGGCATGGGAACAAAGTACTAGTGGTAAATTTTCCCGTGTGCTAAAATCAGAAAATGTTCTTTAAGAAGTTTATTTAATTTTTTGTGACAATGTTTGAAACTTAGATGTATCGGGCCGGCACCGTGGCTCAACAGGCTAATCCTCTGCTTAGTGGCACCGGCACACCGGGTTCTAGAACCGGTCAGGGTGCCGGATTCTGTCCCGGTAGCCCCTCTTCCAGGCCAGCTCTCTGCTATGGCCCGGGAGTGCAGTGGAGGATGGCCCAAGTCCTTGGGCCCTGCACCCCATGGGAGACCAGGAGAAGCACCTGGCCCCTGCCTTCGGATCAGCGTGGTGCGCCGGCCGCAGCGCGCCAGCCGTGGCGGCAATTGGAGGGTGAACCAATGGCAAAGGAAGACCTTTTTCTCTGTCTCTCTCTCTCTCTCACTGTCCACTCTGCCTGTCAAAAAAACAAACAAACAAACAAACAAAAAAAAAAAACAAAAAACTTAGATGTATCTTTAATTTGAAATATATAGATGATTTCATTCTCTAATAGTTGGTTATGTAAGTAAAGTGTACTTGTTCAAAGCAAGCTTCTTGGACTTATCGTAAAATTTTTTCTACATAGTATACTTTAGATTGCAGCAAAAATCACTATTGGCTGTGTTTATTCCTAATTGTATCACTGAATTAAATGCTATGAGGTGTAGAACAGCAATATATTTTATGATCTCCAGTATCCCAGCATTGATAATTGAATACAAAAACTGGAATAAAAGTATCCTATAGTGCATATTTTAAAATATAAATATTTACAAAGATTCTAGCAATTTAGAGAATTGAAGGGTAAATGTGGGCTAGAAATTTTAGACTATTTTAGGCTTCAAAGATGAAGTACTATTTAGCTATAAAAAATAATGAAGTCTCGTCTTTCACAACAACATGGGTACAACTGGAGATCATTATGCTTAGTGAAATAAGCCAGTCCCCAAAAGACAAATATCACATGTTTTCCATGATTTTGTGGTAACTAATATACAGAGCCCCAAAAAGTAGTAAGTGAGCAAAATGACATTTTGAGATTTGGTTGTTGTTCATAGCTCTTTGTGTATACTCTTGAGGAACAGGGGTTTTACTACTTCTTGTTGAATACTGTATTTACTGGAGGGTTAAGCTTGTGATTGTAAAGAAAATTGAAAGTATTTCATTGTAAAAATTAAAAAGAAAAATAAAATAAGAAAATAAGGAGGAGGGGAAGGGTGGAAGTGAAGGAGAGTAGTGTTGGAAGTATTATTATATTCTTAAAACTGTATACATAAAATACATGAAATTTGTTATAATACATAAATTTTTAAAAAAATTTTAAAAGGAAGTAAAAAAAGAATTGTTGACTATTTTTCCCACTTAAGCAGAGGAGTTGCTTCATGTGGTTTTATAAGGTTACCTTTTTTTTCTAGAGTATTAAATTTGGAAAGCCACATATAAGATATCTTGATCAAGCTCCTGTCTGTTTTTCTTTTTGATGTTGAGGAATTTTATGTTTTAATAAAAAATACTTACTTATTTTGTTTGAAAGGGATGGAGGGAAGGAGAGAGTGGAGATGAGAGGGAGAGAGGAGAGAAAGGAGAGGAGAGAGAGAAGAAAGAAAGGAAAGAGAAAAAGGAAAGAGGATGTATGTTTGTTATCTGCTGGTTTACTCCTCAAATGCCAGACTGAAGCCTGATTTCCAATCCAGGTCTCTCAAGTGGGTCTAGGGACCCAAGCACTTGATCTATAAGAGAGCGGAAATCTTAACTTTCTTCTCTATAGATATTGCAGTCAGTGTTATTTAGGACCCAGTTTTCTTGTACCATGATTTTCTCTGCCATTCTCTTGACCTGGTTTTTATTCATGTTACTTATATTTTAGGTGTTTTTCATTATTTATAAGCAAATCTGTTGCATGTTGCTCTAAAAAGCTATACACATTTCATGTAAGTAAGCTTACATGTTCCTTTTTCTGTGTTCAAATGGATCTTTAAGGTAAATTAATTTGCTTTTCCAAGATGTCACTATAACATGCTTGTTAAGAGTCACATGGAATAATAACTGTTAGGACTTAGCAGATAATTGAACCTTTCTTTTGTTTATATATTAAATGAGGTTAATAAAATCATCTGCATCATAGGGTTGTCACATGTTTAAATAAAAGACTACAGCAAAGCAGGCAGAATAAATGTTAGTAAGAAAAATAATAATTACAAGTACTACCAGTACTACTAAGCAAGGAAGAAACTCAAAGTGGAAGAATCAGGATTTTTCAGTAAGACACAAAACTTTGGAAGAACCCAGATTTTCTGATCAGCAAAGTGATTGGCTGAACATATAGTCAAAACTGTTTACAGATCAAAAGAATATTAATTTGAAGAACAACAGCTTTATAACAGAAATCTCTAAAATCCACTTGATTGTAGCAAAAGAAGTTTGTCTTGGGCTTAAAAAGCATG